TCCTATGACACTTGGTGGTAGACTCGAATTGGCATTAGCCTTTACATTGTATTTGGATGGAATGCCTTACGCTAGCGATATCTCGGTAACTTGTTCCTTCTATATAGAAGCTGCACATTCTCCAGGAGATATGTGGCGATGCCATTGCAATGATAAATAAATAAGGATGCATCAGCTACTGATTGAGTGAAGCCAGAAGAAAGTAAAAAACTAGTCAAGGCTTGGTACCATGTTTGAGGGGCTTGTTTAAGATCATATATTGCTTTCTTAAGTTTGCTGACATGATAAGGCTTGGTTGTGTCATACAAGACCGGAGGTCGCTGCATGTATACTTCTTCAGTTAGTTTGCCTGGTAAAAAGGCATTGTTTACATCCAGTTGATGCAAGGGCCAATTGTTAGAAACCGCCAAGCATAGAACCAACCGCATAGTGATAGGTTTGACTACGGGGTTGAACATTTCCAGTGAAGTCGAGACCAGGGCTTTGAGTGAAGCCTTTGGCCACCAAACGTTGTATCGAGAAATGGAACCATCAGGGTGCCGTTTAATGCAAAAAATCCACTTGCAACCCACTACAGTTCTGTCATGAGGAGGTGGAACTAGATCCCATGTTTCATTGTTTGTAAGTGCAGTATACACAACAAGCATGGCTTGCTTCCAATGCAGATATCGTATTGCTTGTGAGGAACAGGTAGGTTAATTGGAATCAGGGAGAGGATGAGTGGTGGCTAAATGAAGCTGTCTAGGTTTAAAAATATTGTTTTGTGATCATGTAATCATGGGATGTGTCCTCTAAGGTTGAGATGATATAGAAGGCTGCACGGTTAGGTGAGGAAAAGAGCGAGGAATGGGCGAAGAGAGAATTACCGAAGTGGAAGAATTGTCACACATATCAGCCACTTGCAAAGATGCATGCGAGGTGAGAGCAGAAGACAAATCAATAGTCAGAGACGATGATGGAAAAGTTGAAACAAAGATAGGAGTGTCATGTGCAGGATGCCATTAGGAGTAAAAAATATCAAAAACTGAGGTGCTGAAGGTAGACTTGGTAGCGAAGGGAAATTTAGACTCATAAAACAGGACATGCCTCAATGTGAAAATATTTTGAGATTGATTGTCAAGACAAAGGTCAGCTCTTTGATGCTTAGAGTAACCAAGAAACACACAAGAAGTAGATTTTCTTTGAAGTTTATGTGTGTTATAAGGTTTAAGCCATGGATAACATAAACAACTAAAAACTTTTAGTTTAGCAAGATTAGGATCTTGATGGAAAATGGACTGATAAGGACATTTGTTTCCAATAACAGGAGATGGCAATCTGTTTAGCAAATAAACGACAGTAGAGAAAGCAAAGGACCAATAGGACGAAGGCATGGATGCTTGATGGAGTAAGGTAAGTCCAATTTCAACAATACTTCTACGTCTACGCTCAACAATTGCATTGTGTTGAGGAGTATGTAGGGGTGTTTATAAATGTTGGATGCCAAAAGAATTAAAGAAAGATTTCAATTTTGTAAATTCACCCCACAATCAGAATATATAGTAATAATAGAAGTTTTAAAATAATTTTTAACTAAACTTTTAAATTTAAAAAATAGAGAATAGACATCATATTTAAATTTTAATGGATAGAACCAAATATATCTAGTATAATGATTAACAAAAGAGATATAATATCTATAAGCATCAATGTTAGAGACTCTGGCTGGCCTCCAAACATTAGTATATATGATATCGAGAGGTTCTCTATTAACTAAACTAGACTTATGAAAAGAAAGTCTGTGCATTTTACTACAGCAATAAGTATCACAAAATATAAATTTATCCAGGGCGATATCAGGATCTCCGAAACCATCTATATTTGTCCAAGCTTTGAGCCTGAGGCCAAGAGGGAAGCCTAATTTATTAGATGATTCAATTGGAAATCTGTTTTGGTGGGCAAGTGCTACGACTTCAGCTGAGACAGGCGCTGGGTTGTTCGAATTGGTTGACCTGATGAGAGAGTATATCGCAGGTTTTGATGATGAATACTTGAATTCTTTACAGGGTGAGCAAGGGTTTGAAGCCATAGCTGAGTACCTTGACCAGCTGGAAACAATGTTTTCCTCGGAAAAACCTGATACTTGTGCCTTCACAAGCTGGTCCAATCTTGGCTTTTACAAAGTAGATTTCGGATGGGGAACTCCTCAATGGTTTTCTCGATTCGGAAAAGCTGGCTCTGCATTTAGAAACACCACTGTTTTTGTTGAAACAAATTGTGGCAAAGGAATTGAAGCTTGGATAACCTTAGATGAAGGGAGAATGTTAGTATTGGAAAAAGATCCTGAATTCCTGAAGTTTGCTTCTCCATGTCTGAAGATTTCAAGCCTGTGAATGTCTTCCAGGACTCAGATAATTACCATTATATATGTTTTGCTACTTTGCTTAATACAAAGTGTTGATCTGTTCCTTCAGATATGGTTAAGCAATTGCTTGTCAGCTATCAAGATACAATGTTCCTATTATCAGTTACAGTTTTTATCAGTAAACTATTTTAAAAATCATTTTAATGTTCTATCTCATATTCATATACATCTACATTTTTTTTTGAAATGCTTTAGAGATGATTTCATTACTTGAAGAAAGATGCACAATAACTACCCATTTTTCTGGTAGTAGAGAGCCCAAATCATGTAGGACAAATCCCTAGCATGAAATGTGCTATGTAAATGTCAAAATAAATACCCAATCTGACAGAAACAACCACAAAAATGAAAAAGAAGAAAACCAGAGCCATCACCATAAATTCAGTCAAACAACAGCTCCTCAAAGGCAGCTTCCTACCTAACCAAGAAATGTTCCAGCAAGACCCAGGAATCTGTTCTGTGAGAGTATTTACAAGCAAACTGTATATCAAGACCCAAACATAAGCACGGCCTTCACAGACATTAATTTCTATCTACATTACATTCCAGCAGCAAACAATGGATCATATATATCTACATTATTTTTAATATAATTATAAATTTGATTTCACATAACTAAAGGGATTCAGCGAACATAGCTTGATCTCAGCTAAAATGGAGGATTACTTGTATCCCTTGTTTTCATACTTTAACAAAATCATCATACCAATTATTACACCCAATTAAAAAAAAAAAGTGAAAAACAAATCGTGATGATGGTGCTTTGGAAATATAAACAATATTAAAACAAAGAAATTTGTTTTTTCCACTTTATTTGCTCATTTATTTATTATTTTTTCCTTTCGTTTTCATGAAGAATTAATTCCACATTGTACACTGACATTAGAAACAATATATGCCACGTGAAGATTCCATGAACCTATCAGAATGACCCTATTACTACTATTTTTGTATTAAGCTATAATAAAATTCACATTTTACATTTATTTGTGAAATCTGAAAATTTCAGAATCAGTGTATAGAATAATAATTTTAGTATATAAGTTAAAAACGTAACTTGAAAGTTCAGAGACTGTGACTTTAATTAATTTGTATTTCAATTGGTTTATTTTGTAGATGTAATGTACCGTTATATATTAAGAATTATTTGATATGATAATAACGTTTATGTAATCATCATGTAATTTTATGAAAAAAGATAGAGATGATACTTGATAAAACCTTTGAACTATTCAAAAAAATATAATAAATTTTTATTATTTTATTATATTCAAATTAATTTTTTTATTTTTATTTTGAGTAAAAAAAATATTTTTAACTAATGATTAATTAACAGTTATTAGTCAAAATATTATTTATTATTTTATATTACATAATATTGATGGGCATGATAAAATGTTATAATGAATGATAATATGTTGATGTGGTATGATGAAATGATCATATAATATTTTTTACTTTTTACCTTAATATCATATCAACGTTATATCAAAATTATGTGGATATAAAATGATAATTAGTCAACTATAAGTTATAAGAGCTTATTATATTTAAAATAAAAAAATATAAATTTGATTGAACATTATAGAAAAATTATAAGAACTTTTTCAAGTATTATGTCAAAAAAAATATAACACTACATAACTAATTATAAAAATATATTATAAAATTTTTTTAATAACATAACTAATGAGTCCTTGTTTAATGACCACGAGGAAGCTCTAGAATTTTAAAATCTCAAATTTTAAGTCTCCACCATATATAAATGTGATTTAGTTTTATATTGAATTTATGTGATTTTAACAGCACATGTTTAAACACAACGCAGGAAAGAAAAAATTCAATTTTACCGATGTGGGTCACACATTACATAACTGTGCTGATAAGTGTTAATGATATTCTTTTTTTTAAAAAAAAAAAACCCAAAGTGTTATGATATTTATGACTTAGAGCACAGAAACAGGTGGCAAACTTCATTTCGAGAATTGCATCATATAAAATACTAAAGGACAAGACTGGCAGACAGATGAGTTAAAAAGACTGGCATGGCAGAGATACGAAACCAGGCTAGCAAATGGAGGTCTTGTCCACCAGAGTGGTAGTTGGACGTATAAATCACGATAAATGCTAAAGTGTACGATACACATGACATACGGTCCGACTAGGACGAGAGGAAATCGAATTTGAAAAAGCTCTGATGTGTTCCACACTCCCAAGTATGTACTACTCTTTATCTATGTGGAAGTAAGCTAAAGCGGGATCGTCTTACTCTTTTTTCCAACCCAAAAGAACCAAAGGGTTGTTAATTTGGTACGTACAAATCTCAGATTTTGGTGCACAAGTTGCTTTCTCCCCCAACACCATCACATGGTTTTAGTATTTGGTAAGTCCCTTTCAATGACGAGAAATGTAGCTAAACAAGATTTACCTTTATTATATGTATGTCGGTAGAATTTTGAAGTTTTACCAATTTTAATTACAAAATAATGACATATGATGGAATTTTATATGAATAGTAATAATGATGTAATTTCTCCTTAAATAATCAACTTTCTATATATATATATATATGCATATAGAAAAGAACACCTTCTACTTATTGCAAAGCATTTTATCTGAAAAATGCTGAACTTGGAAGCTCAGATTCTCTCAAGAGAAATCATCAAACCATCCTCACCAGAGATTCATCAAAGAAAACCCTTCAAAATCTGTCTTTTTGATCAGCTCACTCCCTTTACTTATGTCTCAAATGTCACATTCTACTCCTTGAGTGATACCAATTTCAGTAAGATGGACATTTTGACTCAACTAAAGAGATCTCTGTCAGAAACTCTCAATATCTTGTATCCATATTCTGGCAGGATCAAAGATAATATGTTCATCGATCGTTTTAATGAAGGTGTTCCATTTTTATCAGCTCAAATCAATTGTCGCTTATCCGAATTCCTTAAGCGTCAGGAGATCGTGTCATTGAACAAATTGCTTCCATGTCAGCCTTTCTGCAAGGAATCAAACAATGATGCTCCCCTCTTGGTTTGTCAAGTGACCATGTTTGCTTGTGGTGGGATAGCACTAGGCCTATGCTTATCTCACAAAATTACCGATGCAAAAACAGGCCTGATTTTAAGCAATGTCTGGAGTGAAGTCTCTCGTGGAATATCCCATCATAATATTGGAAACCCTACATTACCTGAGGCATCCTTGGTCTTTCCACCAAAAAATCCAATGCCACAAAATTACTTGTCAATGATGGAAAACTTGTGGTTCACGGAAGCTAATTACGTTACGAGGAGATTTACATTTGCTGCCAAAGCAATTGCCAAACTAAAGGCTATGGCTAAAGGGGAAAGTGAGGCTAGACCAACACGCACTGAAGCAGTTTCAGGTTTCATATGGAAATGTTCTATGGCGGCGTCTAGGGTAACATCAGGATCTCTGAAGCCATCTATAATTGTCCAAGCTGTGAACTTGAGAGCAAGAGGGAAACCTAATTCATTAGATGATTCCATTGGAAATGTCTTTTGGTGGGCGAGTGCACTTTCAAATCCAGCTGAGACAGGCACGGAGTTGTCCGAATTGGTTGACTTGATGAAACAATCCATTGCAGCTTTTGATGATGAATACTTGAGTTCGGTACAAGGTGAACAAGGGTTTCAAGTCATAGCTGAGTACTTTAACCAGCTGGAAATGTTGTTTTCCTTTGAAAGACCTGATATTTTCGCCTTCACAAGCTGGCTCAATCTTGGCTATTACAAAACAGATTTCGGATGGGGTCTTCCATCTTCATTGGCTCCATTTGGAAAAGTTGGCCCTGCGTTTAGGAACCTCACTGTTTTTATTGAAACAAAATGTGGCAAAGGAATTGAAGCTTGGATAACCTTGGATGAAGAGAGAATGTTAGTATTGGAAAAAGATCCTGAATTCCTGAAGTTTGCTTCTCCATGTATGAAGATTTCAAGCCTGTGAGTGTCTTAATTAGAAATAAGACCTAGATCATGATCATTATAGTCTCTGCTAATATGCTTAATATATGTGTTGATCTGCCAATAAGTGTCTTTAGTTTTAGTCTTTCAGATATTCTTAAGCATTGTAGTCAGCTGCCAAGGTTGATCCTATTATCAGTTACAGTTTGTATTAGTAATCTATTATTTTAAGTGAATCATTTTAATGTCCCATATCTATTTATTTATCTATCCACATTAGAATTGTACACATATTTGATTTAACATGACTAAAGGGATTCAGTTGAAAGGGCTTGATTTCAGCCAAAAGAGAGGATTATTTGAACATCCCTTGTTTCCATACCTATACAAAATCATCATAATTCATGCACGTCTTTCCAATTCAAGCCTTCTCTAAAATTCTGGATAATTTTTGTTCTACAAAACCCTTTTCGCTTAACTGAGGAATAAGCCAGATTGCTAATTTGCTGTTGTGATTTTCTATTAAAGTTCTCTGATCAAAGCCTAAGCAGGTTTACGTACCCAGAAAAACTAAAGAAAAAAGAGCCCAAGCAGGCTTCATTTATCTAAAAAGAAGAGAAGTCAGATGGACTAATACAGGCCTTATTATTAAATTTTTTCAATTGAATACTTGTTTATATAAAGCAGTTTTCAAAAACTAGCATGGAAATTTCCTTATTTGGGACATTGAAGAAACTTCGGAGGATTTTTTTTTTTTTTGAAATGCTTGTAAATTCATTCAAGAGTACATAAAAACAGGTTACTCTCTAAACAAAAGGAGCCATAGACCTGTGCATCCCTGACCTCCAAAGCTGCTTATTCAAGAAAAATCTAAGGCGCAATCAAAGATTTGCCAAGCATAAGCCAGAAGAAGAGAAACTGAAGTTACGTACAATAATGGTGGTTTGAATGACTGTGCTGTCAGGGCTGGCTTAATTTCCTTTCTCTCTCTTCTTTACACCGGAGTTACGTACATATTCTGCTTCGATCCTCTCTTTTTCTCTAGAGATAAGCAAACCCAAGTCCACCAAGACATTTTTTTTTTGTTTTATAAATAAGGGTAAAAAGAAAATCCAAAGTTTGAATATTAAGAAGTAAAATAAAGTTAAAACCCATAGATTAATGGAATCAATATGAAATTTTTGATTAAAAGTCAGTTTATAAAATTTGTATAATTAAATGTTAGTAGTGATATTATTGTCAATGAAAAAAAAAATTAAAAGCAGAGATGCTTTTGTTATTAATTTTGTAATTTTCAATTAAAAAAGTCCTTTAAATATTGTGTCATTTTTAAGTCATAAACATAGTTTTTCAATTATAAAGCCTAATTTTCAACCACAATTTTTTTTATTAAGTCAAGATTTATTTGGTTCAAGAGATGAAATACAAGAAGAATGGAATAACTATTTTGTTAGAATAAAATAAGTCATAAATATAACATGGCATTTAATGTCTTATTGAGAATATGATTATTGAAAAAATAATATTACAAATTTTGTTTTATATAAAAAAGTAATGATTAAAATCTTAAGAAGATCAAATTATAATGTTTGATTTAGAAATACTTTTTTAAAAATATGGTGTTAATTTATAAAACTACTTTTATACATAAAAAGATAAAATTTAATATATTTACATCCTTTTTAATGTAAATTTTGACGTATTCAAAATCCTTCAAAATAATTACTCCTGAGGGAGGTAAACACTTTTCAGGGGAATTAATGACCTTAGCAGGTCTGGTATGGTACTTTGATGGGAAGGTAACTTCACCAAAGTAATGACCAAGAGGGAATGTGATTCCCACTCGGAGCTGAGGGAAAGTGACTTTTCAATGGAAAAGGGTGAGTGAAGAGAAAGGGGTTGGACAAATATACCCCTCTCGAGCTTCAATAACAGGACCCACCAGCATGCCACCAGACAAGCAATTTTCTTGTTTCTTGTCCATCAGTCGGCCACCACAAGTGATTTCGTTTTTGTCAAAAAAAAAAAATTCAGTAACATCAAGTTCAAGTTAATCAGCTTCACTTACAAAGTTTCAAAAAGCAAAGTTTTTTTGAATGATGTTTTTTATTTTTAGTGTGATAATTTTAGATATTATTACCAAAAAAATATTATTTTTTAATATTTATTTAATAATTTTACATATTATAATATTTAAATATTTTATTAGTTTTGTGATGTTATTATTTATTATTTTAAAAAATAAAATTTGAAAACTTAAAAGTTTACATTAAAAGAATATAAGATTATTCAATTTTATAATTTCATACATAATGTACTTTCAAACTAAATACTGTAATATAATCTTCTCAACAATCATATTTCTTACAATGATCACTTTTTTTTATATATATTAAACATTATAATATTATGTTCTTAAAAATAACATTTTCAGCAGTCACATACTCAACAATTACATTACAATAATTGCATTTCCACTAAAATACCAAACACCACCTAAATAATAACATGGTAAAATAATATAATATTTAAATATTAATTAGTTAAATTTTGAAATGCATGAAATTACTAATTTCCTATTTCTTCATAGAAATGTCTAGAACTATTAAAAAAATTTCTTATTTTTATAATAATACCTAGAAGAACATTAGAACTATTTAAAAAAATTATCCTAAGAGTTCTTTTTTTCTTTTTTTGGAAAGTTTGTAATTTCATTCAACAAGAGAATGGAAATTCCTTTGAAAAGTACATCAGCTCGGAACCAGTGATCCGTTCTCTATGCCTGAGAACAAAAGGCAGGCATATTAACCAAATCACCATGTACCCTGTATCCCAAAACAACCATCTGTACAAAAGTACCATCTACCCTGCATCCAAAAACAGCCACCTGTATAAAAGCTCTAAGCTGTACAACCTCTCTCACAAATACATTACTCAGCCACTTGCCACATCCTAGAACAAAACAAAAAAGACCCCATACCAAAACATGTATGTATCAACAAAGCACAACATTTGAAGAAAGCAAACAATACAGGCCGCACATGTCATCAATGTCACGCATGGCAGCCAGCCAAAGTGCTGTTAGAAATTCATTGTCCCCATGTGATCTAATTGTGCTGCTGCTTCCATTAATTGTCACCTCTTTGACCTTTTCACTTGCATGCTTTCATTGCTGCTTACACGGAAACAGGATCAAGTAATTATTACGGTGAGAAAAACTCTACGGTGAATGCTTGAGCTTAGATTCTTTCAAAACTAGCCATTAAAATGAAAATTGAAACTAAAGAATATAAGAAGAGAGAAGAACCCATTTTTTGTCTTAGATTTGACCGAGAGCAAGAGGCTTTGCTCAAGGTGAGCGCTAGGGTTTTTAGGGGTGGTGAGAAGAAGAAGAAGAAGCAAAGGAAAAGAACCTGATATAAGAACCTGATACCAAATATAAGAATGACTGTTCACGTAAGATAATTTTCCTTTTGGAAAAAGCTTTGCATTTAACATTGGTAGATGTCTGCTTTCGACCTAATCATTTAACCTTCTTCACCTCCCACCCTTCCCTCCTACCCTGCCCCCAATACGAACAACCTTTTCAGCTTTTTCCTCCTCTCGTTTTATTGCTATTGAAGAATCTGACTTGTTCAGATAAAGTTCCACAAGGGGAGAGTACTGGGCTGTAAGGATTTGTTAAATAGGGTCAGAAAGGAGAAGCTAGTAAGTATTCTATTTGATGAGAAACTGCAGCTTCTATCGCTTGCCTTTGTTGCACAAAACCGTGGGGTTTTTGTCACGGGGCGCTTCTTAAGACCACCCACCATGCAGTCTTGGATTCAATCCTTATCCCGGTATTGAAACTCAAGTCAGCTTTGGTGTTCAGCACCCTCCCAGTAAGTACTCAGCACATCCACACGCAACACACTATTTTTTGATCAGCCGGCACACGCACATACACACAGTAGGCTTCTAGCGAGCAAGCACACTTGCATAAAAAAGAAAGAGAGAAAAGAGAGGAGAGCGTTGGAAAAAGAAAAGCTGAGATTGTATTGAATGAATGAATTACACAGTCTACAAGGGCTTATTTATAGCCAATTTCTCTCCAAAAGAGTTCCCTCCAAAATATTTCCCTCTAAAACATTTAAGAGAGAAGGTAAAATTTCAGCAGCTCAAGCCATTAAAAGAGCTAGTGTGGTGGGTCGGTATCATTTTTGGCCTCCTGGTGGGTTTGGGCCCGCACAGGCTGCATGCCTGGGTGCTGGCTAGCTGGTGCGCATGGGTTGCGCGCAGGCAGTCTGTCTAGGTGCTGTGCGAGTTTGCGTGCCACGCGCCTGCGTGTCGCGCGCTCATGTTATGTTGGTCTGCTTGCCACGCACCCCTACTATGCAGGCTGGCGTGCCCCTAGCCTGCGTACGGCCCGCCCATGGTGTGCGGGCTTGCGTGCCGCGCACCCCTGCTATGTGGGTTGACAGGTCTGAGCCACCCGCGTGCAGTCTGCCTGGCTCTGTGCGGGCTAGCTTGCCCAGGGGCCTGTGCTGTGCGCCCCTGCTGGCACCCTACACTTGCCTTCTGCTATCCAGTGGGGGTTCTCTCCCAGCAATAGTCCCCCATATACCGACACTCCAGCACACTTTCGGATCACCTCCAATGTGCTGAACTGCGATCTGTGACATTTTATCCAGGACAGATCTATATTAAGACAACTAGTATTACGTGACATCACTTATTTATTAAAGTATTAATAATTTTCATTTATTATACTATTTATATTAAAATTTTATGTAGTTAATGATGTTAATGAATTTATTAATATTTTTACGATTTTGTAAGAAGTGGAGTCAAAGACTCCAAGTCAAAGATTTATCAAGAAGTAATTTATATACTAATATTTAAATAATACATAAAAATTTTTTTATATAATTCAAATAATAATAATTTTTAATTATTATTATTTTAATTATAACATCACTCAAAAAAATTTCTGGATCCGCATAAATTTTACCATGTATTGCTTCCCTGCAAAGTGTCTTCCAAGCTATCAGAAGGCATGACCCTATTTTGACATATTCTAAACTAAACAATGTTAAGGAAACCTAGCCTGTAACGTGCCTAACAAGTTCTAATTTTCAGTTTGATGCCCAATAAATTCTAATCGAAGAATTAATATGCAATGATCAAAAGCTAAGATTAGGGAAACTTACTGTTATATTCTTTTATGCTAATTAATATTTGGGCTTCCAGTCTTATTGTT